TTTTTTTATAGCATCCATCCTAATGAGTATGAGGAGACAACTCATGGTGATTTGATTTGCATTTCTTTGATCATTAGCGATATTGAGCATCTTTCCATAAGATTTTTCACCATTTGTATGTTTCCTTGGAAATATGCCTATTTAATTTCTTTTCCCATTTTTGCTTTGTGTTTTCAGTGTTTGTTGTTGTCGTTAGTGACTTGTAGATTCCTTATATATTTTAGATATGATTCCCTTCTTTGATATATGATTTGCAAGTGTTTTTTCCACTCTGTCTTTTCATTGTTGATCATTCCCTTTAATGCACAGTAATGTTTTAGGTTGATATCGCCCATTTGTCTACAATGGACTTTTCCTTTGTGCTCTGTGGTTTTGGTGGCATAGCCAAGAAATCGTTGCCAAATGCAATGTTGTTTATATTCCCCCATTTTTTCTCTGAGGAAGTTTATAGGTTTACAACTTACATTTATGTCTTTAGTCCATTTTGAGTTAATTTTAGTGTGTGGTGTAAATGTAAACATCCAGCCTCATTCTTCTGCATGTGAGTAGTCAGTTTCCAAACACCCTTTTTGAATGATTCTGTCTTTCCCTACTGAATGGTCCTGGTACCTTTATCAAAACTGATTAGACTGATTATACATGGTTTGTGTCTGGATATTTTTAAGGGATTGTTTCCATGGGGGGTTTAGGGTCTGTCTCTTTCTGTTCCTTCATCTTGCTGCTTGTATCCCGTTCCAGTCGGAACTAGTGTGCAGGGCAGGGGTATGGATTCTGTGGTAGATAATGCGGCATAAGGCTGATGGAGATGGAAGACGTGTCACCCATCCCTGATTTTCACACTGACTTAAGTGACTTCACAATCCACTCTCTTCCCTCAAGTGTATTTCTTCGTCTGTATTTGCCAGTGTTCTTTGGTCATTTCATTATGATGTCATGAGACATGGATTTGTACGTGTTCATTCTGTTAGCAGTTTGCTAAGTTTCTGGTGTCTATAAATATTTTAAATGATATTAGTAAGGTGTTCATTCATTGCACTTTATGATTATTGTCCTGTTTTTTTCTGCCTCTGCTGTTCTCATATACTACTTAGACCTATGCTGGCTTT